GCAAGTTGTATCATCAGGAGCAGGGAAGGGGAGGGGGGGCAAGCAGCGAGGCCTGGAACCGAGTTTCTATGATCGCCCCAGTTAATAAATTTGGCCGAGCAAGACTAAGTACTGGTTTGTGGAAAACAAACATAGCGGACTTCCGTGAGGGCGATGCGTTTGTAAAGTTTTGTAAACGTGCATATTTCACATTCAAACATCTACGAAAAAGTTCCTGTTTTCCTACATCTAAATCTTGGACATTTTGCTCGAGGCATCGGGGATAAATACTCCAAAGTAAACCTGTGAGTCCTCGCGAGCGGGAACTCCACAGTGTGAGCCAGATTGCAGGCATGAATATTTTATTCCAGCTTTTTTGGGTGTCCTATAAACGGGATAAACTGAAATATTGCTATATTTCCGGACTCCCTGATAGTAAGGGTTGCTTTTTCTTAACAGCTTCGTGACCCTTTTTGTTTGCACTTATTAAACTGACAGGGTTAAANCAAATAAGCTGAGATAGTGACTTTGTTAGCACAGTACCCGGATGTACATATTTTTAATTTCTCACCAGCAAAACAATGTCATTTCCTATCAAAGGCTTGAGCAAAAACATTTACCAGAACTGCATATAAACCAACCATGACATTACAGGACACAATGGAGTACAAGAAAGCACATGCTATTTTAAGCTTGAATTTCATATTAACTCGACCACTAGAAATTTCTATAACACTACAGTCAGTGTAACAGGTCTCAAAATGAGGTACAAGTTTGGCATAAAAATGAAATAAAATTTGAAAATGCAGTTACATGGCAAGAAGGACACACTAGATATTTCTAATGGATTATCTATCACAAAATGCTTGGGCAGCCTGTATTCCAGGTTACCTATTTACTTCATACCACTCATATGTACTGGTTAGATCACTGAGTAATTTAAGACACCTATTAACCGACTGTTCGGGTTAAGTGCTGATGTAGGTGATATTTTGCTTACTGAGTCAACTCCAGAGTGGCTTTCTGGGCACAAAGCCACTTGGTTCTCTTATCAGCATCATTTGGAATACTGCCTGCTTCCTCGAATCCCAGGAAATACAGTGAAAATTTCATTTCTGGGAAGTGGAACTTCCTTAAAAGCCTAGAACATGAATTGGACTGGTATTAACACAAAACAGTATATTTTATCAGTGAATTAGCTTCAGTCTGTCTTTTGAAGTTAACCACCTTTTGAACAACCAGGCCTACCTCGTGAAATTCTTAACCTTTTATATACCTACAGCCTGAAAAAGGCTGTACCCCTTTGGGACAAAGCCTCCTGCGAGTGTTTAGTCCAACTAAACTCCCAAACTACCCCTAAAATCAACACCTGCCATGTCTACAGATATTAACTTCCTTAATTTCCCTATAAAATCTCAAATGTGGGAGGGAACGGGGATGGGGAGGGGGTACGGGAGAGGAAGGAGAAAAAAGAGCAGGAAACGGGAGAGAAATGCAAAACACTGATTTTCAGCAGAACACTTTCAAAACAGGAACCCAAAATGTTATTTGACCTGTAGCATCTTCTGAGACTTCTCTGATACTTCTCAGCAAATGAGCAAATAAACATTCATGCTTGGGCCGAAAAAGAGACTTACTTCTGCTTATGAATTTGTAGTTAAATGAGTAAGATCTGTTTGAGTCTCCTAATTTACAAGGGACAGGAGTAGGACGAAAGAGGGAGGGAGTCGGGAGATAAAGGTATAAGAGACGCAGGTGAAGAGGGTGCGGGAAATTCTGACACTCTGCCCCGTGCCCATCTCCCTTCAGAAATTGACCTCTTCTTGGGAAAAACAGTAAAACAATATGAATATGGTATATCCTACCAAAAGAGGCTACCTCCCCAGCTATGATTAATCATTGGGCCATTCCATTTTTTATCTGCACCCCCTCCACTCCCCCCACCGCTCCTATTGAGGTACTAGGTAACCGTAGGGAGGAGTCTTAAAAGCCGTTCCTGAGGGGGTAACTGCGTCCACACCTTTGATCTGTTAATAAATTCTGATCGGGGAAGTGTGTCGGCACTTTGGTCTTCCTTTCTTGGGAGGGGGGGGGAGGTAAAAAGTTTACTTTTCTGAAGGGGTAAAATTCAAAGCTCCTCAACGGGATGGTGCGGACATTAAAAGCGTCCACTTGGTAAAATAGAAACAATGTACAGACCTCATACCCATTACACGTGTGTAGAAATCCAACGACACTTTAGGGTCCTTTACCCTAAGCATGGTCTGCTGAAAGGTAAAGCCCTTTGTAGCTTGGTCTGGTTCACTGAGGGAGGAAGCTATGTCCTCTTCTGACAGAGCCATTTTTAGGCGAAAAGATTGGTCTCGTACCCAGTCCTTTCATGAACATCTGAACATCGAATAGCTTGGTCGCCTGGTCGGTTGCCTGGTATATTATTCATCGAGTTATTCATCGCTTTGTACCATGCATGTTACATAAGCACAGTCAGAGCCAACGGCATTATGATTAGCGACAGACTGTACCGTCTTTTGCTAAGTTCTGGGATTACTTTTGGTGGTTTAGGCGTGGCTTGGATTCTAATGAAGGCCATAGTACCATCTAAAGAAGAAATGCTAAAGGTATTTACCTGCGAAATATTTGTTAAGGCGGCCTCAGTGAAGAACTCTGCGTGCAGTCCTGCCATCCTGAACTGGATATCTGGAGAGTTCTCTAAACAAACAAGAAGATTTGCGATGAAGCCTAAAGAATAACTAAACAGCTCATAGCTAGTGCTACAAATCAATGAATAGGAACCAGTAACAGACCATGTTGCGCCATCTTCTAACTGTGCAATGTGTGTATAGGAGGGGGAAGGAGGAGGGGTTGACTTCAACCCCGGAAACAAATTTTTCAAGATTCAAACAAGCTCCTCTAATAGAAGTAAATAACAACCGTATGAGTTATCTACATGACATTGGCAGTGTAACAACTCTCCCTCCTGACTCCTCAACACTGTGAAGGGGGACACTGGGGGCCTCTGAACACTGCAACACTGCCAAAAAAATTAACGAATATCGCATCACCGCAATAAAATTCAACGAAACAGCGTCACCGCAACATATATTTTTAGCCCCTTGATTTGAACGTCAACACTTGACATAGAACTTTTATACCTCATCAATTTTCTACAAAATAAACATATCACAATGCTGGTCATTGTCTATGAGTCGATACTGCTGACTCCTGTAAAGGTCAAAAACAGCTTCAGATTGGCAGCTTAGGCATATTGAAGATTAACTAGACAGTGTTGTTCTGTATTGGTTGGTTTGTATTTTAAACACTATGATGGATAGCTTTATTAAGTAAAATCATTGCAGCCCCCAAAGCGGCTCAATGGTAAGTGTTGCGCTTACTATGCAACTATAAATTAGCACAGATCAAGGAAGTTTTCGTGCTAAATTTAGGTCGGAGAAAGGTCTAACAAGAAATGCCAGCACTGCAAATAATTTCATTTCACTGAACACTGTAGCATGAAAAACACAAATCACACACCATAGGGTTTGAGATCACCACAGCACTGCAAGGCGGGATTTTATTCACCACATTATTACTGCATTAGAAAGACAATCAACACCACAACACTGCAAAGTCCTGTGTCTCCCTCTTTGTGACCAATCAGAACGTAAATTAACAAAGGATGCAGTTCTGTTAGGTTCAGATCTCTTTGGTCACAACATTTTTCACAGAGTTCTTTAAAGTTGACTCCCAATAGCTCAAACTTTTAAGGGCAATCAAGGTTTCAAGTTAGTTATTGGAAGATGGAACAAATGACTCAATGCCCTGCATGCTTAATGGAGAATAGATCTTTTTGTTTATTAACTTGATTATTGTTACTTTAGAAATTGCCAGAGGAGGCTACATCACGTGAGGCCTTAGCAGCAGAACAAAGAAGACATGAGGATTTTATAATGGTCCTTCAAGAAAACATGAGGTCAAAAAACCCTGCTTGGAAAGTTATGGGAATCGATGAAGTAAAGGAAAGACAAAAGAGAAGAGCAGAATATCAGCAGAAGAAAGAATCAAAATTACGAGACAAGACATCCAATGAGCTTTTAAGTGAATAGCTGGGAGTTTACAAAGACAACAACAAAAGGTCACCATGACTTCCCAAAAAATACAAAAACAAGATTTGTCACAACTACAGGGGGGAGACATCTCTTGCTCATTTTATGGGAAGCATTCACTGTACTTTGTTGGGAAAGTCATGCCAGGAAAAACAATTAACTGCAACAGTAAATGTTTTGTACACTATAACGTGCACACACCCCGTATGTAACTCACCTGGCTTGAACATTGACCATTGGAAATTCTGCAAGGTACAAACTACAGGTGATTAATTCAGCCCTGGGAGACAAACAGTTAATAAAAAGCCCCTCAGTCTGTAAAATTTGGAATTAAGTTGGCTGATACCCATGTGCAATTTTATAAGTGCTAAGTTCCTGAAAAAAAACACATCTTCAAGTGACAAATATCATAACAGTTTAATATACTACTTTCTCATTCAACAAAGTTGTCAGAGTAAAGCAGCCTCTCAATCATAGGAAAGAAATTAAATACTTGTTGTTCAAACATGGAAGAATGCAATGTAGAATCCTTTTGATGAGTGTCAAAAAACTTTTCTTTCTCTGTGTTTTTTCAAAACACTTTATGTGGTCCCCTCCAAACTTGTTGAATAAAATGTGTACTCATTTAAGTGACTGGTAAAATTGTTAGCTTGAAAATGAACTGAACACTGACTACACCATATCGGAAACCATTTCATTTTTTCACAATTTTTTTTCACACAGTCACTTACTCAGCTGGTAGAAATTAAAAGAAAATGAATGCCTCTGACAGTTGCAAATTGCCTTTAAATTGGAAGTCCAACATTAAACTTGTAGCCTAACTAATTTTCAGGAGGCACGGTGGCCTCATAGGTAGTGCACTCATCCCCGGATCAAGTGGTCTGGGTTTGAGCCCTGGCCAGGGACATTGTGTTTTGTTCTTGGGCAAGACACTTTACTCTATGGTGCCTCTCTCCACTGCATGCAATTGATAAGTGAAACAACATCAATGAAAAGGTGTAAATCTGAATTGTAGAATGCTCTTCTCAATGGAGTACCTTCAGATGGTCCTTTCCTGTAAATCTTTTTATTTATTTATTTATCTTTTAATGTTCTGTTTCTCATTTCATGGTTATGTTTCTGAATGAAAAATGTATTTGATGCACTTTCATTTGTATTGCCTGGGAGATTTGGCGACCCGTACGGTAGAGACTCGGTCCACATCCGGGTTACTCCCAGATAATCTGGGAGAGTTGGCATAGATGAATTTCAGTTCACTTAAGTATAAGGTTACAAACAAAGGAAATAATTTATTAATCTCTAAAGGAATGTTTATGTACGAACTTTTAAGTGTATTTAAAAATGCATTTATCTTAATGAATAATTTAATGTACATGTGCGCATTAATCATTCTCTTAAATAATAAGGACTCTACAGTGGAGGATCTAGGGGAGGGGCCCAGGGGCCCGGTCCCCTGCCTTAAAAGAAGAATAAATGACAGAAGGAAGAAAAGCCGGCAGGGCAAGTAAAACAAAACCAGGCCCCCCTCTTAGCTCAAGTTCTGGATCCGCCACTGCTCTAGGGTTGTAAAATTTCGCTTCGTGAATGTTTAGGACTACAAAGCAGTAGTCAACCTTGGTACCAGGTTCTCTCTTTCCTTTGCCTCCCTTGCCAAAAAGGAAGGCAAAGTGACCACTCACTTATCAGTGTTCCAGTTAATAATATTGTTCTTTATACTCCTCCACTGTGAAAGCGTCACCACTTGTGTTCACCACAGCTCACCACCAAGTTGTCACATTTGATGCCTGGGGGAGGTATGTGGGTTAGTTTTTGCTGGATATGTGCTGCTGGCCTCTCAGAGCCCCTACCCCATTATAGTCTATTCTGTGGCCAATTATAGACTCCATCTTAAACACTTTTGGGTGAATATGTAATTTTCGCGATCCCAACTTAGTCACTTTCTATTTATAAATGTACTTTATATTGAATAAAGACCACTTTACTTTTCACCTACAGTACAAACATTCTGGTAATTTTGCTAACTGTAAATATGAAGAACTGTCTTACCTCAAAAATCAGAAAATGTGCGACCCCATTCTAGTAACTCTATTGAAAATGCGACCCCATGATAGTCAATCCAGTTGTGAAAATGCAACTCCATCCAGCAGCACATCCCCATTAGCCTCTTATAAGGAAGTACCCCCCCCCCGATTTGATGTAAAGGCTAGATTCAGAAAAAATCGTTACCCAACACCATTAAGAAGAAGCGGCTGAACATACAGAACATACAGTTCAACTGGCCATCTCTACTACTCCTGATCAGCAGTTTGTGACACTTTTTCATAGAAGTATTGAACTGTTTGGTAGTCCCTTTCCTCTAGACCGTCCACAAAAAGGTTTCTCTCGTGGTCAGTCCAACGCAAAAACCACTTGTTAAACATTCGAAGCTGGCAGTGAAACACATCCGGACTTCCAAGCGAGAGAGACTCCATGGCTCCAAAAAGAGAACATACTTTACCAGGAGTCACTTTACTTGCAAGGATATCCATGAACTCATACTTTTGATGGTCGGTCCAGCAGTTAAACCACGACCAAACAATTCGTATTTCCTGATCTGTTGAAGACTTCTCCGTAGAATCGGCCATCTACCAAGGTCTACCACCCTTCAGAAACATTTTCGAAACGAAGCCGAGTACAGCGATTCAAAGCAGGCGTTTCCTGCTTACTTTTTGGCCGTGACTTCAATATAAAGGGACTAGGTTCTAGTAGAATCAAAATGGCGGTAGTTGGTGTGTTGACGAAAAGAAGCGGCGCATTGATAGAATTTAAGCACGATCTTCATTCAAGTGAATCTTGTGAAGGAAAAGAAGAGAGTTTGCAAAGCCTAGTGTATTCCCTGAGAAAACTTCAAAATGATGTTAATTCCTGTTTGACGAAAATTATCGAGGAAGAGAAGACATCAGCAACAGCCACGAGCGAAGGTAAGCTCTTAAGTTAAGCTGATTTTTAGTGCAGAGTTTTCTATTGGGATGGTTTGGGGGTTGACGTCGCTAAAGCACTATGCAATAAGGCACTATAGCACTGTGGCAATAAGGCACTTTAGTATCACCCAACTAGTGGACTAATGCGAATTCGGTTGTAGCGAAAACTAAGACCTAAGACCTAAGACCCGAAAACTAAGACCCGAAAACGAAGACCCGAAAACTAAGATCCCTTTATTTTTTTTATTTTCCAAACCCCTGCTCCACCCCCGTCCTTGATTATGATAAATTGTAGGATTATGATGTCTTTCCGCCGCCCGGACTTTAGCAAAAGCGAAAACGAATACCCGAAAGATCCATTATCTTTTTGTCCTTTCTTTTTAATTGAGTTATTTGAAACGAAAAAACTTAAAACATTTTCTTCAAATCCTGGTTTTAAAAGGACTCAACCCATAAAACAGAAAATCCACCACTACAGTACAACGTTTTCACTCAACAGATTGAACTGATTTATTTCCCCGGTCAAACGCTGTACTTCAACTACACTCGATTACACTTGGCCTAAGTCCATTTAAGAAAGCCGTAAAAGCGCCTTATTTGCACCAGAGAATGGGTATTCTTGCGACAATCAAAAAACAGTGACTACAAATAAAATACCGT